GAACCAGAAAAACAAACAAGCCCTTCAGGCCAAACCTTTGTTGTTTATTTTAACTATAGTATTTCCGCATCGTCCCTGATTTTCTTTGCAATTTTTCATTGCCGGAAATTATAATACAAAATTGCCGTCCTTGGGACATCCGTTAAACTTGGAACGACACAGGGCCTCGCCACACCACTGTCGAAAGTGCGATTTTCGATAGTTCTGGTCGCCACACAGACTGTCGAAGTCGGAGACGGAAAGAAAAGTCGCCAGCTGTCAGAGAATGCTTCTCGACACCTCACCTCCTGTCGAAAGTTGTTGAATCCCCACCCAGCCTGCTACTCCGAAGCTTTCGACAATCCTCGGCTGCGCCATCGACTTCTCTTCGAAATTTGGTGAGTGGGGGTAAGGTCGGGCTGGACTACTGCTTGTCGTACCCTCAGGCGCGTTCGTCTTTTTCCATCTTGCTTTCACAAGTGCGTCCACATCAGTGCTGTGTGGCTAAAGGGGGCCAAACTGTTGAATGGATGCTGTTGGATTTGTTCTGACAGCCGTCAATTTTTTTTGCCTTTCGCCAGTGGTGTGGCGAGACCCACAGAGAAGATCAGTGTGACGACACACATAAATTGAGAAATGGTCCTCGACAAGAAAAGAAAAGAATAAAAAATCGCCAAAGTCAGGGTACTTGCAGTTTTGCACAACCCCCTTGGGTCCGGTAGGCAGAAGGTAATTTAGTATCCTTCTGCGTCCACTGAAAAGATGCAAAATGTGGCTAGGGTCAACTGGTAGTTTTAAGAGTTCGAACTTCGAATCTATACGCAGGTAGAACTGTAGAGATACATAGGTTAAACCACCAGTAATCTTCCCAGCCAAATTTCTCCAATGGGGGCACGCCATGCGCTACGTCCCTTGGGATGTACCGGGCTGCCAAGCGGCACATTATTCATCCAGGCAAAACAGGTCGTGTATGCGGCGGTCTTGCTTGAATGTTTTTTCCATTGTGTGGAAGGCCGGTACATCCTGAAGGACGCTGTGTGTGCACGGCCGCGTCTCAGAATTTTGCCGTGAAACGTACTGGCGGCTCAACAGTTCGGGCTTTGGACGCTGTTAAATTTTGATTTCAGTCTTGGTTTCGGATTGTGGTATCCAGCCCCCGAGAAGAACTGAAAACAGGAGCTGAAGTACCTCATATAGATGTAGAACTGTCGACACATAGGTTAAGGGTTCGAATCCTTTTGATTTCAGATCGCCATACTTGCGGCACCCTGATGCGGTGCGCTGAGCGGGGCGGTGCGCTGTGCGCGGGGCACACATTTTGCAGCGAGCGCACTGTGCGCCGTGCGCTATGCGCTATGCGCTGTGCGCTCGGTGCGCTGGGCTTTGCGGCCTGGGCGCTCGGTGCGCCAAATGAAAATATGCCCTGCATTTATCTTGCACAGGGAGATATAGAGGAAGAAGAGGAGGAGGAAGAAGAAGAAGAGGAGGGGGAGGAGGAGGGGGAGGAAGAGGACGAGGAGGATACAGACGAGAAAGATATGGTGGAGGAGGAAGATATGGAAGAAGATGCGGAGGGCGAGGAGGAGGAGTAGAAGTAGTTGCACCAGCAAAAAAACAAAACAAAAAAACAAACACGTGCCGCGTGGCACGTCAACGTTAGAGTACGATGAGGAGGATGAGGAGGAGGAGGAGGAGGAAGAAACAGCAAAAGATGAGGAGTAGGAGTAGGAGGAGGCGGAGAAGGAGGAGAACTGCCCGAACAAAAAGCGTGCCTCGTCGCACTTTAACGTTAGAGGAGGATGAGGAGGAGGAGGAGGAGGAGGAAGAAGATGAAGAGGAGGAGGGGGAGGAAGAGGGGGAGGAGGAGGAGGACAAAGGTAGGGCGGCGGAGGAGGAGGACACGACAGAAGATGTGGAGGGCGAGGAGTAGGAGGATAAACTTCCGATAAAGGTGTGGCAGAGGAGGAGGAGGAGGAGGAGGAGGAGGAGGAGGAGGGAGATATGGATGAAGCAGATGAGGAGGAAGAGGAGGAGGAGAAGGAAGAGGAGGAGGAGGAGGAGGAGGAGGAGAAGTAGCTGCTTAGGCAAAAACAAAAAATAAAAGTGCCACGTGGCATGTTCACGTTAGAGGAGGAGGAGGAGGAGGAGGACGACGACGACGACGACGAGGACGATATGAGGAGAGAAGTGGAGGATTAGGAGGATATGGAGGGAGAGAGAGAGAGAGAGAGAGAGAGAGAGAGAGAGAGAGAGAGAGAGAGAGAGA